CCCCCAAATAATACCAGTTATTTGGAACTTTTTGACATTTGAATGAGCCAAATGATGAAAAAAAAAGTCCTGGGCACCTTTGCAGACAATCTACTGCTTCCATTTACAAAGATCCTTTGCTCCACTGAACCCTCCTGGGGGAATTCTGAAAAACATTCTGTGTGTAAACAATCTGTTCCAGAGACACATGTTTTCTAAATTGCTTGTTGACATTTTTTAAAAATGAAAGAACCTATTTGTGTGAAGACAGGACCTTCTGTTCCTTATACATTTCCTCTATCATAGAAATTAAAAATGAAATAGGTCCTCTCCAAAGGACCATTTACTTTGCAGTTCTCCATCCACCTTCACTTTAACTAAGCTATTTTCATATCCCTGATTCCCTGGTTAAATAGAACTTATTATTAAAATGAGATGCTAATGACAAAGCCAATGCTTTTCCTTTTTCTTTTCTCTTCCCTCCCTACCTCTCTTCCTTCCTTTCTTTCTTTCTTTCCTGCCTCCCTCCTTCCCTCCCTCCCTTTTTCCTTCCCTTTCTCCCTCCCTTCCTATTTTTTGTGACTTTGTTAAGTTAGGGTCAAAACAAACTGAGCTGGAAAGAAAGACTGGGCCACAGAGGTCTGACAGGAGAGGGTACTGATAGAAGGAAGCTATGAAGAAAGGCAACAGAGTCCCAGCTCATCTCAAAGGGCAGCTTGGCAAGTTGGCCATCTCAAAATGGATCTTAGGCCTAATTACAAAGCTCAAAACTATGAAACTCTTAGACAAAATCTTGAGAACAAATATCTGTGTCCTTGGGCAAAGATCTCTTAGATGAGATACCAGAAGCATGGGCCATGAAAGTAGCTGTTATTAAATTAGATTTCACCAAATTGAAAACTTCTGTTCTTCCGAAAACACTGCTAATTGGGCAAAGAGAACAAACGAAGACAAAGAAAGAACTGTCAGAAGGACAAAATACAGAAAAGTTACTCATACTTCAAATATATTTTCTTTTTTTGGTTTTTTGAGACAGAGTTTCTCTGTATTGTTCTGGAGGCTGTCCTGGAACTCGCGCTGTAGACCAGGCTGGCCTTGAACTCACAGAAATCCGCCTGCCTCTGCCTCCCGAGTGCTGGGATTAAAGGCGTGCGCCACCAACACCTGGCTCAAATATATTTTCAAAAGAACTCTCAATACCAAATAACAAGAAACAAGCAATACAACATACAAGTGAACAAAATATTTAAGTACCAGACAGAAGGATGACATGTAAAATGGTTGGTATCACTTGTTACTTAAGTAAATGCAAATTAAAAACCACAATGAGTAAAATTTGCAATATCAGAAAAACAAAAACCAAAAGGGCTGGCTTTATCAGGTTTAGGGAACAATGTCTAAGAACTAAAATTTCTCATGACTTCAGTAAAAGTGCAAAAATGCCAACAACTGCTTTGTTAAACAAAAAAGTCAGAGCAACATCATACGACTCATCCATTCTACTCCTAGGTATTTACCCAAAGGGGGTGGGGGAATCATTTCCATACAAAGCTTGGAATACTTGCCATATGATTCAACTATTCCAATCCTAAGACCTCACCCCAAAGAAATGAAACCATATGTGCATACAAACACCAAACCATGAACATCCCTAGCTTCATATGAATGAAAGGGCCTTGAAATCCCTTGAAATGTTCCTTTAAAGTGCAGTGTCGTGTTGACACCTTGATTCATTAATGATTTGAGCTTCTGCTCATCAAAGGGAGGGGTCTTCTAAAAGTCATTGTAGAATGTTAAAATTTGGAGGAAGTGGAAATCTAGCTGCTGCCACTCTCAGACCAGACGCTACAGGAAAAGCAGAGCCAATGACTTGACATGACTTACAGAATCTCTTTCTGTCTTCTCTTAATGTGGATTCCTTTAGCTAACGTTGGGTCATCTTGTAAACTCAAGTGCAGGAATTAAAAACCCCGAAGAACTTTTGTATCTTTGACACCAAAGAAACCATTCTTTAATGAAGCTGTCACTAAATTACAACTTGGAAGTGAATAGCTTTGTGATAATCTTAGTGTGCCTAAGCCCATAGCCATATTCTGGCTTTTGGGTGTGCCTCTCCTTGAAACCAGGGGCATTAGTATTCTCCACTTCCAGGGTTCTCAAGACTAACTTGGGGAGAACAATCCTGATCATGTTTTAGGCTAACCTTCTGTACAATAGAATTTTTATTTCTTAAACAGCTTCAAATGACATGATCTTATAGACACTGGTGTTTTCTGTGGGTGATAAAATGGAACAAAGGCATTTGCTTCTATTGCTTCTCCACACATCTTGATTCTCCGGCTGGCTCAAAGGAATAGTTTGAGATAAATGGGGACCTCCTGGTATCCTAAAAGTGAATCACACTCTCATCACATTGTGCTATAATATCCCTATCAAATGGGAACACATTCTGCTTCATCACTCACATCTGAAAGTTTCTTCAGCCTCCCTGAATCACCATTTTTTAACAGTTAATAGTATAAAGGAGAAAACCTCCAACATAGTGGTGATGATTTTGGACCCCACTCATGTGCTGCTATAACGATATAAGGGGTCACACCGACTACATGTATCTCAGCCCATAATTTTTGTTACAAATGATACTGACAGAGAGCCATTTGGGTGTCTGAAATTTGGTTACATATTCATGGAGACTAATAAATACAGTCCATCTATCTAAGAATTCACAGCTAATCAAAGGATGTGGAACTTAAAATGTTTAAGAGGACAGTCCACAGAAGGCAAAGAAGAGCTACATCTCCATGCCAGTGTGGCCGACAGGTAGAGTAATGTGCCAATATGCCTGAATGGCCAAGAGGATCTCACACAACTGAAAACGATTTCATCCTTCATACCCCCTGTCCTGCCTGAACTAAAACCAATTATTTAAAAGATGCTCTGAATGTCGCCCATTTTTGTGCCTCATGCTACATAAGTGTTCTGAGGTATTTTGTCCTAAAATTTCCATGGCTTAGTAGGACTGTGTGGAAGATGGAGCAGAAGTAACTGTGGGTATGCCATGGCCTCTGTGGTCTCTGAGCCTGACTTCCTCCAGCTAAATGTGTTATCCTCTAGAGACATAAAAAGACAGGAAGGAAAGCAGAGCTGGCTCCTCCAAGCCCCAGACATCCCAAACATGTCAACTGTAAATTGGAAAGGCATGGATTCTGAACTCTGGGAAGCTAATTGGGAGCCCCAGGCAGAATTCTAATGCGGTCATTGTCCTCATCAGTATGGAAGCCACCAAGGAAATACTGATGGGTGTACACATTTAGAGGAAAGGGCACTGTTCACAGGCAATGGGGCCATGAAGTGTCCCATTTCTCAGACTCAGGAGTTGCCATCAAACAGAAATGTAACATTTTTAGGTCATATATTCATAAATAGCTTCATTAAATAAAATCAAAGTTCACTATTAGGTTTCTTCTACCTAAATGAAAAGAAGTAATGCAGGTCTACATTTTAATTAAAATCATTTAATGAGTTGAATTGAGTTTCCACTTAATATTTTTTCTAACAACATCCTTACTTATGAAAATGGTTTATAGATTTAAGAACCATTCTCAGTTTGTCTAAGACTAGAACTACACTAGAGAATAGAGGTGTGTTAATTCTGTTTTTTAAAGACACATTTTTTTAATTTCATGTGTATGAATACATAGTCTATATATGTGTGTGCACCACATACATTCCTGGTGCCCATGGAGGCCAGAAGAGGGCATCAGATTCTTTGGAACTGGAGTTACAGATGGTTACAAGCCACCATATGGGTTCTAGGAACTGAACCAGGGTCCTCTACAAGAGTAGCAAGCACTTTTAACCACTGAGCCATCTTTCCAGGCCCAGAGGCTAGCATTATGTACATCACTTGTATAAAGGAGATGTCCTGAATATGTGTCTGTCATGGGAAGTGCCTGTTCTAACTTATGATGCCAGGGAGAAAGGAGACCACAGTGCAAATCCTAGGAAAGTGCCAGACAGGAAAGAAGCTCCAAAGTCTACTGAGGGCTGCCAGGTCCGTGGCATCCTTGTGTTTTTCTAGACCCTTTACAAGACGTTTTCATGTTCTGATCATCTCATCTGAGTTGACAACTCAAGATACATTATCATCACCGTGGTTGGTGAAAAGTGAGACTCACAGAGATGAAAGGAATTGGCTACCACCACACAACTCAGAGGCAAAAACTGAACCTGAATCTGTGGTTGGAATCTTAGTTTTATTAACTTTTACACTACATCACCACCCTCTGAAACCAACCCAGAGCTCAGATAGTTTGAGAAATGCCTTTGAGTAGAGTCTAGAAAGTTGTAAAACTGAACCAAGAGAGGCTGAGGGCAACTTAAGGAAAACTTTTACACTTGGATAAAAATAGTCATTATAACCTCCACCCCAAACCTCACCCAGCTTTCACTTCTCAGTGACCACCTAGATTTATGCAAAAGCCAGAGAGTGTCACAGTGGAATTGGGGAAGAAAGAGCCAGTGTTCCCAGTGTATGACAGAACTATGGAAGACCTCTGAAGCCAGAATCAACTATTTCAGTGGCCTTGAAAGAGACTCAAACTGTGTATATCTGGAATACACTGTGTTTTAAACCCAAGATTAACTAAATCAAATAGTACTCTCTGCTGGATTTATGCCATGTCTCAACTCAGGACTTCCTTATGTATAAACAAATGTTTGAAATAGCCCAGGACGTCTGAGCTATCGTAGGGCCACAAAGACAATGTGACATCAGTTGACAAGTTAAAACTGGAAAGGCCGTACCATGTCACCCCTTTATCTGCCATCTCTTCTCCCATCTTCTTCCCCTAAATACCCTCATTCCCTTTCTTTCAGTGCCCTACTTGGGAAAGGACATCCCACTGTTTGTCTAAGAGTACTAATAGGATGTAAAAACTAAACTTTATCAAGAAAACCTCAATAGTAAGTTAAATCACATTTTAAAACAGAAAATAAGCCAGGCAAAGTTTATATCTTACCCATGTTCTGTTTTGTGGTCGTATATCTGACGGATACCTTCCAAACATCGAACTACACGTTGACCTGGATGACATGCCGAAAGGGGATAAGAGTTCAGAATTCCAAAATTTTATTTTAGAAAGCTGCACACACACACACACACACACAGAGAGAGAGAGAGAGAGAGACAGAGACAGAGACAGAGACAGAGAGAGATCACATTGAATAGGTCTTTACACTGTAACATGTAAAATAAAAAATTTAGTGTATTTCCCCCTAATGTTCTGGACATTTCAGAAGGAAGCAAAAGTAACAGAATGTAAACTTTACTTGGAAGATAAAACAGCCTTTAAAGGCTCCCTTGAGAATAAGCAGACTGAAGAGTGGTACGATCTGTTCTGAGAACCTGCAAAATCTCCTATTTCAACTAAAAAAGGAAAAGGGAGGAAGGCACGTTCTCTCTGTGCAAAAGCAGGCAGGGCGGTCACCCCTCCCTTCTCCCCCCCCACTCTTTCCTTTCTCTCATCCCTCTCTTCCCCATCTGACTCCAGGCTTACAAACATGTTATTTACTTCTGCTTGAGCCTTCTTGGCTTTTTAGTTTCTGCTGGATTCCTCTAATCCCCTTCCTGGCAAAAAACTATTTTTCCATTGCCCCCAATTCTTCCTATTCTTTTGCTAAAGCCACTCCTATCAGACTTGCTGTAGCACCAGTCCATGGTAATGTGGCATGTCACCAGGGTTCCCCTGGTTGCTATCTGCACTGGTCCCGTGGCAATTCACCTTAATAGCTCTTCCCATGCTTCATCAGCTTTTCTTAGAAACATTCTCTTCACCTGGCTCCCAACACATCCCTCATCCTTAGGAATACACATGGGTCCATGTGGCTTATTAGTCTTTCCTTCCCATCTCTGCCCAAATGCCATCTTCTCCATGGACCTACCGTGTGCATCCGATCTACAGTCAAAGCTCCCATTTCACTGAGCTTGATTTTTCCCTGCTGTGGTCACTACTTCCCGACATTCTACATGGTTTACTTATTTATTTATTGTATGTGTGTTGCATAACAAATGGCCAGGTACATTCCTTAAATGTATAGGATACTTTTCCCTCTTGTCTTTGTTACTCTGTCCTTGGCAACTTCTCCATGTGTTCAAGCGTTGGGGATCGAATTTAGGGTTTTGCACATGCTGATCAACTGATGAGCCACTGAGTTGCCTCCTAGCCCCAACACTTAACATCTTGAAGAGGGAAAGACTGCTTAACATTGGTGGAAAGAACCAGTGGTTTAATAGGCTTCACCCCGTTAGCACAATCAGTTGCGCAGTTGCCGTCTGACAAGCCTTCCTTTAACACCCCAACATGCTCAATTTCTACCCCAAGAAGTAAATACACTTCTTTTTCACTTCACACTTCTGTGAGTGTTTACTGCCTACTTTTCTAGCTTTTCAAAGACATTAGCACCGCTTAAAAAGGTTCACAAAGTGATCACTGGCTAAAGGGTAAAATTAATCCAATTGTCACCTTAAAGAAGAAGACAAGAGTTCTAAGAAATCTAGCTGCTTTTCTCGAATCCTGTGTATTTTAGTAAAACACAGTGCTTGGTGCTTCCTGCCTACCCGACAGCTCCTCCTTATCCCTGAGCCAAGAGTAGCCTCTTCTTTAGGGTTGCTGGGAAAATCAACACGTAGCTTTGCATGAACTAATGTCACAGGAATTCCACTCTCTGTCTCTGTCTTTGCTGGTGTGCCTCACACAGCTGATGTACTTACTCATGAACTATATTACAGAATGATTCCAGAGTCTGTGCTTCAGTCATTTCTTCTTGATAAAATATTTGAGTTCCCTTATCTTGCTGATGGTCTACACCACACTCAACACTACTTTTTCCAGCAGCCTCTTGAACCTGTTGTATTTCACAAGCAGTTTCCAGATATCTCTTATAGCCCTCATTGTTTTTAAGGGTGTATATACTTGTGTACCTGTGTTTTTTTTTAATTTCTCAGTGGCATTATGGGGAATGAGTACTATGCTCTATTTAATCAATAACATGTTCAGCTTTTGGAACCAGAGCATACTCTATGGGTTTGCTCAGATGAGCCATGGATGCACAACAAAACCCACACAATTAATAAAGCATGAAACGAAACTACTGACTTCAAAACAAGAGAACCTTGGCCACCTGACAATAACATTTAAAGGTCATGAGTCATGGCCTTAGTGTAACCATAGTAACTCAGCATACACACCGGAGACATGTATAATAAGGTCCAGAAAGTTTACAAGCTTTGAAATAAAATAAAGTAGAATTAACAAATATATTTTTGATCTTGTTTTCATCATAGTGTTTTCTTGCTTCAGGATTCATCATGGGAAAACTGAAAAGCTTCATTAAACATCTGTGGCATGGAATATAGTGATATCACTTGAGGCTGGAAGTAGTTTATTTTCTCTCAATGCCTTACAGAGCATAAACATTTCTTTCCATTTAATAAAATGTGCCGGATTGCTAGGTTTTTCCTTATCACTTTTTACTTTGGAGTAGTAATTAGTGGCTATGGAATACATGATTTCAGCACAATTGGATTATCTGGACAGCAGGTGAGCGTGCCCTGTTCTCACGGGAAGGGAGGTCCTGGGAAAACGCTTGTCTGGTTCTTGAATTTGGAGCATCCTGGGTCTCACCCTCCTTTGTTAGAGAAGTTAGACTCAAATTCCCATTTGGTTTGTAAACATGCTGGAGAGGTCTGTCTCAAAGGGAAGTGGAAGAGGGAAAAGGAGACGGCAGGCAAAAAAATCAGGAGACCAGTTTGTACCAGCTGAGAAGAGAAGCTACAAACTGAACCCACCTGAGGATCCAGAACGGCAGTAGAGTACTTCCATGCCTTTGCCTCAGAAGCCCTGATCTGTACCTGTACCCCACAGTTGACTCTGTGTATTAGAACAAGAACCCACAGGACACTTGACAATAAGGGCACTGTCCTGTTTGGCTCCGGGCATCACTCTTGCTTCACACTGGGTTATTCATGCCACAGCTGATAACCACAGGACATTTTGCCTCCATTTGGAACACTTTGTTCACCTTTTTAATTGTCTTCATATGGAAATATCAGCCTATCAGGTGATTTCATAAGGGAAATGAAGGGAAAGGAAATGCTTGCTAGCTTTCATGGTTTCAAAGTGGAAAACAAAATGAGGTTGCGCACCTTTTGAGGTTCATAGATTACACATGGAAACTGGATTTTTTTTTACATAAAAATGTAAGATCTTAATGAGTTCTCCCTATTAGTCATGAACTTCGGGTCCAATATGAAAAGCAAAGCTCACACAGCCACTAAGAAGACTCAGTTTAAAGGCAAATGAGGGAGAAACCAGGGCTATAGGTGCACACCACACACAGGAAACTGCCCCTCAGGAGACAACTTCCTCTACAAAAAGGGCACAACCATCTCACTCCAGATTCGAAAGACAATGCTAAACAAAAGCTATTTCCATATTTGAAGGGGAAATGTGTATCGAGCCCACATGCAAATTTTCCAGTGATTGACTGCAGATTGATGATAAAGGCCATCTCTTTGTCCATTCCTGTGGTCAAGGTTGGCTCATAATTTCTACTTGGAAAAGAGGTGCAGAAGGAGTGCCCCCCACCTTCGAGCATCCTGGTTGGAGAGTGGGGATTAGTGCTGCTGTTTCTCTGTGGTTCTGAAAAGAGGGCTACTGCTTCAATGTCCTCACTCCCACACTATTAAGGCACTTGGGGTGGGTGAGTGTGCAATTCTGAGAAATGTACGTGAAGAACAGTTTTACTCATTTGACAAGAGCACTTGATGAAACTTGTGCTATGCCAGTCCTTGTCCTATGATTTGGGAAGATAGAGTCATCCCTAGAAAAAGGCCATTCATCAGTAAGAGAAAAAAGGCTCTTTGATGTTTTCCTCTAGACTTTAAAGAAAGGTTATCTTTGAAGTCTGGAGGGAAGGTTACTTTATCCAGAAATTTCCATGGATTATTTTTGGACAGAAGGAACTGGGAACTCACCTGCATCTCGCTGAGGTTTCAAAGTCTGGGATTACAACTTTCTTGCTGTGGCACACTCCCATCTCAAACCAGGACCACTGGGATCATCTGTCCATGGACAGACACCAACGAATCTTAATCTCACTCCATAGAGTTTTCGAATCACAGGCACTGCCCTGCTGCCCATTGTTGCTAAGCAACCACAATGGCAGAGGTAAGGACCGTTAACTGCCCAAAGCTAAAGAGGAATCAGTTACAGAGCCACAGGCTTTCCTCAAAACAGCTCACAAGCCAGATCCAGGCATGAGGACAGATGGAGGACAGTCACAGAGCCATCATTTCTGGAAACCTACTCAAAGAGTGAGAGGAGTGCCGGGTTAATGCTCAAAGTACAGGATGTTTAAAATCCGGTTTTAATGCCAAGAACACAGTTGTCACTCTGTTGTCTGACAGAGGTACACACTCAGAAGCAGATTGCTTTAAGTCATGCTGGTCTGATATCCCTGTGCCTTCACACAGGGAACTCACATCTGGCTGAAGAATATACTCAAGTTCCCTCCCCAATGCAGGCTGGAGCAGGTAACACATTTCAGTATGTCGGTTCCTGTCATACCACGTCTGCAGTCCCTGCTTCTCAGAAGCCACTTCTCCCAGCCAGTTGCTGCACCTTTCCACAGAGGGGCTTGCAGCCCCCACTTCCTGCTTTGATAGACGACACATAAGGGCCCTGAGTTCTTTAGCCGTGCTTTCAGCATGCAAACTACCCCCAGAGCTCATACCAAAGCATACTAGGTGAGTATGAAAGCTATTTTCTAATCCCATGAATAAAGATAAAATGAACTGAACACTCGGTGGACCAGATAAAGAAGTTAGCATGGGCTGGGTGTATGTCAAAGGCATACAACTGGTTCACAGCATTTGGGAGATCAGAAAAATGTCACCTTCCTCCATAGTTTGACTTTCTTATTTTTAAAAGTACCCAAAAAAGTACCACTTGACCTGTCTGGGTGTCCTCCAGCTCTAACATCCAGTTGTTCCCTTATCCCATCTCATCGAGGCCCTCAGAGTGGGTTGCACTTCCGTGCGGTTTAGAGACGTGGGCAGGGACTTACATGTAAGATCGTTCATAGCATTTTATGAAAGGAAGGTCAACTCAGAGATGGCTAGTGAGAGGCACTGTGAGCACTAATTACTTGTAGTGCTTATTAATTTCATCCTATATCTCACTGATCGAAAAGAAACACACAAAGATATGGCCGGTACAAAACAGAATTTTACAATTCCTTGACAAGCAACCTGAGTATTGCATTCTCAACCCTCAAAAGAGCACTGTATAGGAAGCCCTTGGCAAGACAGCTAAGAAGTGTCCAAGTTCCCTGAAGATATTTATTCTCAGAGTTCTAGGCTAACCAGGCTAGGAAAATCAATCATAGCACCCTATCACAATTAAGTTGAAATCATGCAAATAATTCTATTTTTAAAGTCTGAACTACATTTTAAGTAACTCCACATTTTCTCTAAGTCTAAAGGAAAAATATTCCATAACCAGTATCTATTGCCATCATTAATACTGTTTGAAGCTAAAACAATGTAAGCTCAGGATAGCTGCTATAGACTGTTACCTATAATTAAAGTCTTACCTTGTAGGCTGTCTAATATGTATCATTTTTCATGGCTTTAAAAACATTTATGTGGGGGGAGAAGAATGAGCACACACCATGGTGAGGAGGTCAGAGAGCAACTTGCAAGACTCATCTCTCTCCTCCTACCATCATGGGCCCAGGGGATCCGACTCAGGATGTCAGAGTTGGCAGCAAGCACCTTTACCCACAGAACCATCTTGCTGGCCCTCAGGTATGTATCTTTTTCTGACAATCAGAATCACATGTGGACACACATGTGCCGGTGGAGTACATATACTTCATATATTCTGATGTTAGTTAGAGTTAAATGACTAGGTTTTAATAGGGCCAGAAGAGACAGGGGGAAGGAACATAGCAATGAGAAAATAGCAAGGCACAACAGGAATGGATTATAGTGAAGGCACTCTATTTTATAACACAAATATCATAGCAGCAGTCATTGGAGTCTGCTACGTTCATGTGTCCATTCGTCTTTCATTTGTTTGCTGGTTATTTGCAAGTACTTGCTGAAAGCACTGTGCACTATACATGGTGGTAGTGTGAACAAAATCAATCCTACCCCAGCTCTCACAGAACTGAGGACCCAGTCAACTAGCAACAAATGGGTTATTATAAAATGAATAGATAAAGTGGGTTTGGGATTCCAAAAGTGTTCTTGTAATTCAGCAGAGGCATGAGTAACCAGGAAAGCAAACTGAAGTCATCCGAGTGGTACCTCCTGTGGAGGTCCAGTCCCGAAGAGTGGTCCCATCTCTAAGAAGCTCTCTGTGTGATGTACATGGCACAGCTAGACTGCAGGATGCATTTAGGTCAGTGGGGTTGTGTTTGGGGAGGATAAGGGAAGAGGGAAAGTCGATAGAGAAGCCAGAGTGACAGCATCTAAACAGACCCAGATCAGTGCCAAAACAATGGAGACATCGCCCACTGTCTAAAAGGCTTGCTGTCATTCTCTGTGAGAGCTGGCTCCCTTGTCATCATTGTCTGGCCCTCTGCCCCATGAAGCTGATTGCTTGACACAGTGGGTCTAATTACCTCCAGGCTCCCATCTGTTTTCAAAGAGGGGAATGTTTATCTGTGTGAGCAGAGACCTTTTCTCTATGCATTTTGGTCCTAAACTCTTTGCCTGGGGAAAGCAGCAATAAACATGAAAGCTTTTATTATGGAGCAAAGATGTAAACCTGACCTTTCTGGTTTGTGTGTGGTAGGAAAGGCATACTCATTCTCCCCTCACTGAAGCCAGTGAGCATTGGCTGTTAGGGGCCCTAGTAATAATGTCTTCCTCATGCTCTATGATTTAGCTTTACAGGGACAATAATTTTGGGTACCTGGTCCCCATCACCTAAGCTAAGGGGAAACAGTTGAAGACACACACACACACACACACACACACACACACACACACACACACCTGAGGATCATAGAATCTAAGCACAGATTCTGAAGCCGCTAGATTTACAGTGGTTTGTTCTCTTTTGCCTTGAGAACCCAGAGGTCCTGGGGGGATTGGTGCAGATCTGTGGATCTGTGCTAGTGTTTTAATGGTTCATGGAAGACAAAGTTGCTGTCCTCTTGAAGTCCTTACTTACTTGGTACAAGCAAGTGTATACGAGAGTCATTCTAGAGAGGAACAAGTACTAGAAAGAACATAAAGGAATGTGATGAGAAAAGGACCAGGAGGTGACATGATCTGGAGCATGAAGGATGGGAGGTGAACAGTCACCGGATGCTTGCAGAGAAGAAATGGCCAGCAAGTTCCAGCATTAGGGTAGCAGGCACACAAGGCCGTCTTGACCTAACATCTTCTCGCGCTCCTTTAACAGAAAAAGAAATTCACAAAGCTCTATAGGAGAAGAGTTCTTCTTGAGCATTTCTCTTGTTCCATGGAGTTCACTAACATGTTCTTTGGTGGGTCATCCCCAACCCTCATCTTGCTCCCTAAGCAGCCTTCTGACCCAGGAGGCTGAGCTGGTCTTGGCTCTGTGCACTCCCAACCTTCATTAGTCTTCCGTTGAGTTTAGGTTTGAGAGAAGTAGGAGGCGTGGAGTACCCCTTCCACACTGACACCTGCTTGTCGGAGTCTTTGGCTACTCTAGTTTATCTCAGAATGGAAGACTAGAGGCCTCGTGTTATGTGACTAAATGTATACATCTAAAGGGGGTGGGAAAAACCAAGACAATATACAGGAAAGACTGCATCTCCCTGAAGAGCTAACTAGTGACAAAGAGGGGGAAAGGATTTGTGATTCTGATGCCAATTTGACCCTAATGGGCCACTCTGTTTGTCCTGGTACCCAACCTTGCAAGACAGGAAAAATAAGTTACATTGGCCTTTGACATTCTGAGTCTGTAGAACTTATTATTAAGAAGTGGGGTCTCCAATCTCCCATAACATTAGTCTCTGGCCTACACACACACACACACACACACACACACACACACACACACACACACACACACACACACACACAGGAAAAAAATCTCCCTAAACAAAACCATCATGGGTCTGAAAGGTACTTGGAGGTAGTGTGGATTCTAATTAGTTTTTTAATCATTTTTTATTTTAATTTTAAATAGCTTGTTTTACATGTCAATCCCAGTTCCCTCCCCCTCCCCTCCTCCCACACTCCCCTTCCCCCCACCCTCCCACCCTATTGCCAAATCCTTCCACATAGGGGATATCTAGAGTCTGTCATTTTACTCTGGGTAGGGTCCAGGCACTCCCCTAAGAGTCCAGGCTGAGAGAGCATCCCTCTTTGTGCTATAGGCACACAAAGACTGTTTGTATACCAGGGATAGACACTGATCCACAGCTCAGGGCCCCATAGGTTGCCCAGGCCTTCTCGCTGACACTCACATTTGGGGGGTCCAGATCAGTCCCATGCTGCCCTCCTCTAATTAGTTTTAATAATAAAAACCCAGAGTCAGATATAGGGGTAAATACTGAAAGATTAGAGAGGCAGAGCAGCCAGCCACTAGTTCTTACCTCTACGTTATTTTCAGACCAAAGGCAATCCTGTCCTTATGTATCCTCAGACTGAATGCTGTCTACAAAACCTCAGACTGAATGCAATGAGCCCTGTCTCCTCCTGCCTTATATTGCTCTCTCTTCCTGGTCATATCACTCCTGTCTTCACCTTTCAAGTACTAGGATTAAAGGTGTGTCCTCCCAAGTGCTGGGATCAAAGATGTGAGCTCTGTTTCTCTTTTAGACTGATTCACTATCATGTAGCCCAGGATAGCCTTTAACTCACAGCGATTCAGCTGTCACTGTTTCCCAAGTACTGAGATTAAAGGTGTGTGCCACCACTGCCAAGTCTCTATGGCTAACTAGTGGTTTAGGTGTGTGGCTAACTGGTAGCTTCATGTGTGTGCGTGGCTAATCTCTTATATAGGTGTGTGGCTAACTAGTGGCTTAGCCCTGTATTCTGATCTTCAGGCAAGCTTCATTTGTTAGATTATAAAATATTACTACACTCAACCAGATAGACAAAGATGCTGTAATGGACTTTGTACCATGAAAGACACTGC